CCCTCCCTCCCTCCTCTCCCCCTTATCATTCCGTTCCGTACAAAAGAAGATAACGATTTTTCCCGTTCGCGGCCTTTTTCCTCCTCCGATCGTCCTCCCTCCATATATTCAATATCGGATCGAACCCGATCGAAACGGATTCTAATCGATCCGAAACCGTGAGAGTCGAAGAGGCAATGATGGTTTCGCGATGGCAGATTGGATTCGAACGCAGCTGGAATTTCGAAAACGGAGAGAGAGAGAGAGAGAGAGGAGGGGGAGCATCGATCAACTGGGATGTTCGGGACAAAACGTTATTGTATCCTCGATCTTATCGAGTCCGGGAATTTGTTTGTCCATCGCGATTTTTTACGACTTGTTTGACTTGCTCGATTATTTCAGAGATCGCACAATATAGCATTTTGTCGCGAATCCATCCCTCGAATTTCTTTCCCAGATGATAGCCGGGAAAAAAGTGTGTCCAAAGAAGGGGAGGGGGGGGGGAAGCGATAAGGCGTGTAATTAAAGAAAAACAGGGGATTCGTAATAATAATTTCGACCAGCTGGCATCCCCGTAGCACCGAATCCAACGTTGGTACAACGAGGTGATCGTGAAGGCGCGTTCTCAGCCGGAGGGGTTTGTGATGAATTTCTCGCGAAATGTCTGACATTAAACCGAGAGTCCAAGTCGAGCGCCCAGGGCGCGTGCCGTGTCGAGCCGTGTATTTGTAATTCTAATGGCGAACCACCTCGAGTGGAGAGAGTGTTGTTCGCCTCGTAATGGTCCCCCTGGAATTCGGGACTCGGGGCTTGGGGCCTTCTGAAAACAGGATCCTTCCTCAAAACAGATAACTCGATATCGTGTGTTTAACGTTATTTCGAGCAACGTTCGATCCTCCAATTCCTAATTTTTCTTTTTTCAATTTCGTTATATATCATTTAAAAGGGAAAAAAAAAAAGAAAAATTTCGGTAAAATTGTTTTTTGAAAACAATAATGCTAAGATATTCTGGAAACGAAGGGATCGAGTTGAAGATTCGACGATTGCGAGCGAGCGAAGCTCGTTCAAATCACGTTGCACCTTCTCATTCATGATATCGATAACATAAATATTACCTAGATGCTAATAATAAGCTTAATAAGCATACATCATTATAAACGATCAATTTTTATGAGCAGGTGTTACGTGATATACATACGTACGTGCATAGAATAATTTATTATTCTCAGCTTACAAAGTAGCCTCACAGCGCGATAGAAATTATTATATATTCATATCACGGAAAATATAATCAACGGTCTGCTATCTAATATCGTCGAATGGAGTAAGAAAGTACTTGTATTACTCCACTTGATGAACGTCCACGTGGCATGTTCGCCCTTCTTTCGAAATACGTGTGTAATTTCGTTGAGAAAAATCATGGTTTAAGCTGTTAATAAAAAAAAAAGATTATTGCATTGTATTATTTATTAAACGGTTGGATCCCTAAGTTTCTTCAAGTGGGACGGTATTGTAACACAGATAGATCTAATTATTGATGTATATCAAATGTAAAAGAGAAAGAGAAAACGAAAAAAAAGTGACAAAGACATTATGCGAGAATGTAGAATTGATAAAAGCATAAATAGAAATCATAATTGATACGTGTGCAGATATGTATATATATGTATATAAGTAATTATCTTGTTCCTCCTGTGTTCATATATGATTTCACGCAATGTGAATGGCCTTTAATAAAATACGCCTTTAATGTTAAATATAATGCTCGATGTCGTTATTCTCTTTTCATTTCTTGTATACAAGTGTTGTCTTTATTCAGAGTATAATTACAGGATTTAAACGCGGCTTAGAGCTTTGGGTCTTTTCTTTTTTTATCGATAAATGATGATGAGATTACATAAAATTGTAGCCTTTATGATTGTAAAGTATGGTAACAATACACTAAATGTATTTTTAATACTTGATTTTCAATTTTCAATCTTCCTGTCTTTCTCAATTTTTTCAATTCAATTTACTTCCTCTAGAGATCCTATAAAGTGATGAAATATCGACGAAAGCAATTTACTACTACTTTAATATTATATTATAAATATGTATTATAATGTTATAATGTTTCATGTTAGATATTAATATTTTCGATATAGCAATATTTATATACGGCACTCGGTATATTTTGTATCGTTGAGAATACGAGAGCGATACAACGTGTTTAATTCTGATGTTAATGAAACATTTTCGTAATTCGATATTTAATTATGCGACTCGAATGCGTCATAAAATATTAAATAAAAGTCATTTTGCATAGAATGATAAGTGATCAAAGACACGCTAGATACGACTTGATTATGAAATCTCGTAAAACGATAATTTATTCGAATTCTCAGCGACAGGTCAAGTATTCGGTAGGAACGGTTAGAAATTAAAAGATTATTAATCGTGTGTATCGAGAGATACTCCGTAGGAGGCTCAGAAAAGGAAACTCGAAAGATAACGAACGTCAAGTTAAATTATCGTCTCCCGTGGATTTTCATCCGATCGGCTTTTTATCGCGCTGACGATCGCTGTAATCTTACGAGTTTTTACTTCAGATCTCACGGACAAATCCGAGCGTGAAGTTGCGAAGACTATAGAAGTCTACGGGTGGTGTTACCGTCGAGTTTATGTTTGTATGTTTCTCTGCGCGTTTTTTTTCCCCCCCTCTATAATTTTTATTTTAATGAAAAATAACGTGTCGACTAATAGCACATATTTAACGATAAAAAATTATGATCGAAGTAGAAACTGAAACTTGTTTAATTCTTGCATTTCGATTTTTATTTTATCTCTCAACTTTATCTGTATTCAGAGATGTTTCTTTTATTTGATCATTTTATAAATCACTTATACATCATCTTGCAAAACATTAAATAAACAAATAATCGTTGTCATCGATGCTTCAAAACACACACTCGCGTCAAATATTACGATATAGGTTAGATTACAATTTAATATATATAAAATTAATTATATTTATATTATATATATTATATTGTGAGATGAATAGAATGAATGTAAATAGAATACAATATTTTATATTTTTTACATTAAGGATATATATTCAAAAGTATAAGAAAAAAAAAATTATGAAAATTGTCGAAAATTATGTTTAATTCACACGTGCAATATTCGTCTGTGGTGTCATACTGAATATATATAGACAAGGAGCGCAAATAATAGGTAAAGGATAGAGATAGAGTAAAAATTAGGGAATCAACGCCATCTTCAGAGTGCCGTAAATGAAACATATATAAAAAGGATAGTAAATAATGAAAAAAGGATAGAGAAGAGTAAGAATTCACTATCAGTACCATCTTTTGAATATCAAACGTATTTCTTTAAAGACAGGATAAAATAAAATAAGAATTAAAGATTAGCGCCATCTTTCTATAGGAAGAATAAAATATAATAAAAATTAAAAATTGGCGACATCTCTTGAATATTTTTAAAAAGATAATTTTTGAAAAAGTATTTTAAGATATCCAAGAGATGGCGCGGACAACCAATTCTTAGTCAATCTATTTTTCACGTACCATTTGCTCTTTTGTTTATATATTAATTATATTTACAGCATTCTAATGTTTTATTCTATTTTTAAAAAAATATCTTTAACAAAAGATGATACTGACAAATTTTTACTCTTCTTTATCTTTTTCCCATTATTTACTGTTCTTTTTGTTTATTTCGATATTTCCTAATTTCTTAATGTTTCCCTATCTCTTTCTATTTTACTTCTTTTCTTATTATTTTTTTTCTATTCTTGTCTATATTTGCTCTTAATTTTTAATAAAATTATAAATTATAGCAAATAATATGAGCTAATTGACTGTTATTGCAACGATTATTTTTTTATTTATAGTATGTATATGTATGTATTTTTTTTTCTTCGACAATATAAATATAGTTTCTATATTGGCCATAGTAAATTATAGAGGGCATAAGAAACATTACTTTTTTCGAGATATTTCAAAATGTAAAACATGAAATTTCGCAAGATGTCATGTCTATCTTGTATATTTCGTTTATGGTTCCATTTCCATTCGCATCTTTATAGATAGCATGTAAGTATGTTGCGCATGCGTCTGCAATGCTTTGAGGCGTTGCGTGTTAGTGCATACTTTCGCGTTGTGAGTCGGCAAAAAGGAAAAGCTCAAAAACGGGTTTCAAGATATTTCGATATTTAAGAGTTTTTCGAATCGTGATTCAACATCGAGAGATGTCAAGCATAGAAAAAAAACCATTTCGTCGGCTGCCCACAGATGTTCAGCCTTATCATTATAATATTGTTTTGTCACCAAATCTGAAAACTTTCGTCTTCGATGGGAAGGAGGACGTGCACATTGACGTAAGCTGAATCAATCTAAATCAATCAATAGAACACTAATTACTTACATAGCGTATTATAAATTTATAATTCGAATGATGGAATAAGAAATGTTAACCATATGGCAAACATAACCACAAAATTTGTATACCATATACTATAAGGCGGATTCCATTCCATTTTATTGATAGTTAATTTAAAGGAATTTTTCTTATCTTGCTTTATCTGTATTCTAAATCTTGTGAAAGAGTATATGATTATTAAATTTTACACGATACGAGATTATACGAGATAATTGTACGAAAAATAATTTAATTTAATTTCTTATATCAAAACAATCGTATTAAATATTGTATTTTAAAATTTTTTCATTTTATAATTCTAATTTTTAATGTTTATAGGTAAAAAAATCTACAGATACTATTGTTTTAAATTCATTGGATATTAATATAAAAACTGTATTTTTTAATGATAATAATGGAAAAATCATTCCGACAAAACATATTGATATTTCTTCGTCTGAAGAAACAGCAACTTTGGTATTTTCCGAAAAATTGCCAGTGGGAAGAAGTGGGTACTTGAGCTTGGAATTTATAGGAGAAATTAACGATAAAATGAAGGGCTTCTATAGGAGCAAATATATTGGGTACTGTAATTTCTACAATTTAATAATAATATAAATATATCTTATATAAAGACATTTTTATTATTAAAGAAAAAATGAGAAATTTTTTTTTTTATTTTAAGCATCTAACATTTTGTAGACAAAATAAATGGTATGCAGTAACTTATTTATGTCCTACATCAGCTCGTAGATTTTTTCCCTGTTGGGATGAACCGTCTTTAAAAGCTACTTTTACGATATCAATTGTGCTTCGTGATAAGTCACTTGTTGGCCTATCAAATATGGTAAGCAGTAATTGACATCTTTAAAATAATAAAAATTTTTTGTATGTTTACAGGGTCAATGGAACCGTTGAACACGCAGCTGTAACTCAATTCGAGCCAACAGATGCTAGACGTTGCTTCCCATGCTGGGATGAACCAGCACACAAAGCTACGTTTGATATTACTCTAAATGTACCATCAGGTCTTACAGCACTTTCCAATATGGTAAGCAGCGCCTAGCACATGTGGTTTTATTTTATTTTTTCTTGTTTTCTCCATTTTTAGTTTGTGCATTTTCAAACACACACATATATATATATATATATATATATAATATTTAAAAAAATATTTTTTTATCTGTTGCAGCCTATCAAAAACAAGGTAACGAATGAAGCAGTCGAAACTTTAGTATTCGAAAGGACACCAATCATGTCGACGTATTTAGTAGCAGTTGTGGTCGGTGAATTCGATTACATAGAGGACAAATCGAGTGATGGTGTATTAGTACGCGTATACACACCGAAATCAAAGAAAGAACAGGGACAATTTGCATTAGAAGTAGCAACTAAAGTGTTGCCGTATTACAAAACTTATTTTGGAATTGCTTATCCACTTCCGAAAATTGATCTTATCGCGATTGCCGATTTCTCATCCGGTGCTATGGAAAATTGGGGTTTAGTTACGTATCGTGAAACCTGCCTCTTGGTAGATCCACAAAACACATCTGCTGTACGAAAACAATGGATCGCTTTAGTAGTAGCACATGAATTGGCACATCAATGGTTCGGAAATCTTGTAACCATGGAATGGTGGACTCATTTATGGTTAAACGAGGGTTACGCGTCATTCGTGGAATTTTTATGCGTTGCTCATTTATTTCCCGAGTATGATATTTGGACACAATTCGTAACAGACACGTACATCAGAGCTTTAGAACTCGACGCTTTAAAGAATAGTCATCCGATCGAAGTGCCGGTTGGTCATCCTTCCGAAATCGATGAGATCTTCGACGACATTTCTTACAATAAAGGCGCGTGTGTCATTCGAATGTTGCACTCTTACATCGGGGATGATGATTTTCGAAAGGGTATGAACCTTTACTTGAAAAAGCATAGCTACGCCAATGCGGAAACTGGAGATCTTTGGGATGCTTTAGAAGAAGCCAGTAAGAAAGAAGTCCGCAGTGTGATGAGCACGTGGACAGAGCAACAAGGATTCCCCGTTGTCAGAGTTCAACATCGTCAAGAAGGTACCGATCGAATTCTGTCCTTATCCCAAGAGAAATTTTTAGCTGATGGATCCACGGATACAGGAAGTAATTCGTGGATCATACCGATTAGCATAAGCACGTCGAAGAATCCTGAGGAGTGCGTACTTAAGGATCTGTTGGACGAGAAAACAAAAGAATTTCGAGTCAAAGACGTCCCGGAAGATCATTGGGTAAAAATCAATCCTGGAACGATCGGTTTCTACAGGATTCATTACAGTCCAGAAGCATTGTCTCTCTTGTTACCCGCTGTCAAAGATCATGCATTACCTCCGTTAGATAGATTGGGTCTGCTAGACGATCTGTTCGCCATGGTACAAGCCGGTCACGCTTCTACCATAGAAGTACTTCAACTCATGCAAGCGTTTCAACACGAAGATAATTTCACTGTATGGTCTAGCATAGTAAATAGTCTAGGGAAAATCGGAGTTCTAGTGTCTCATTTGGATTTCGAAGATTCGTTCAAAGCGTTCGGACGTAATTTGATGCGAGACATCACCAATAAGTTGGGCTGGGATCCTAAACCTAACGAGAGCCATTTGGATACCCTTTTACGATCTCTTGTTTTAGGTCGTATGGCAGCACTGAACGACGAGGATACCATACAAGAAGCAAAGAAAAGATTTGAATTGCACGTATCTGGCACGACATTACTCGCTGCCGACTTGCGTAGCCCTGTTTATCGGGCCGTGCTTTCTGTCGGCGATACCGACACTTACGAGACTATGTTGAGGCTTTATCGAGAAGCAGATTTGCACGAGGAGAAGGATAGAATATTGAGAGCTCTGGGCGCGATCAAAGACGAAACCTTGTTAGCGAAAGTTCTGAACTTTGCTATGAGCGATGAAGTGAGAGCTCAGGACACGGTGTTCGCCATCATGTCGGTAGCGATGACGTACAAAGGTCGAGTGATGGCTTGGGACTTTTTTAAAGAGAATTGGAAGACTTTGCTCGATCGTTACGGTGGCGGTTTCTTGATTTCAAGATTGGTCAAATTCACCACGGAAAACTTCGTCACCGAAGAACGGGCCAAAGATGTCGAAGAATTCTTCAAGGACCATCCAACACCGGGAACCGAAAGAACGGTCCAACAAAGTGTCGAATCTATCAGATTGAACGCGGCATGGCTTGCCAGGGATAAAGACTCTATCAAGGAATATCTGATCACTCACGTTTAGTAGTACAATGAATTATTTCTCGCCTCGAGTTCTTGTCTCTAACTTGTTATTACAATTTCTGATACAATAGGAAATCGAAAGGGCGACATCATGCCTTTGTGAGTTTTAAAAATAAGCAAGAATTGCTTCGAGTCGAATTTAGAGAAAAGAGAAGACGCAGATTCTCTTGTACCATACGACATCGTAAAGATTTGCATTTATACACACAGACGTATACAACAGTTGCTTAA